ACATCAGTTAAGTCTTTTCGTGCCGCCAGGGCCTCAGCCAGTATCTCACTGCAATCATGGAGAGGGCGGTCTTTCTCTGGGTTAGGTAGGAGCGTGGCTGGATTCAGGAAGCAAGGGGTCTGAAAACGCACCCGTGGGGCATCAAGCAGCAAGGCCTGGTAATGTGTCAAGCGGGCATTGGAGATCCACTTACCCGGCGGCTGCTTTAAAACCCCTTCAATGGCGTGGGGGGTGTAAACCAAGAGTTGCTGTCCATACGTCAACTTGTCAGCGTCGCGGACGAGGAGGGCAGTGGCTGCAATGATGCGAAGGCAAGGGGGCCACCCAGCGGCCACCGGGTCCAATTGCTTCGAAAGGTATGCCACCAGCCGCTTCCATGGTCCCCATTGTTGCGTCAAGACCCCCTTTCCTATTCCTTGCTTCTCATCTACAAACAGCTGGAATGGCTTATTTGGGTTAGGCAGGGCAGGGGCTTGGGCTTCTAGGAGGGCCTGTCTGAGTGTCTGGAAAGCCTGTTTCATTGGTTCAGTCCAAGTCCAGTTTGGGGTCTCCTTACTTCCCTCATACAAGGGCCGGGCCTTCTCAGCAAACCCCATGATCCACAGTCTGCAATATCCAACAGTCCCCAGAAACTCTCTCACCTGGCGAGGGGTCTTGGGCTCTGGTATCTGTAATATCGTTTCCTTCATGGCCTGGGTTAGCCACCGTTGCCCCTGCCTGATCTTATACCCCAAATAGGTGACCTCTTGCCAGGCTATTTGTGCCTTCTTTGCGCTGGCGCAATATCCAAAGGTGCCTAGAGTCTGTAAGAGGTCCCCGGTGGCACGGCTGCATGTCTCTTCTGTAGTTTTAGCCAACAGAAGGTCATCTACATATTGCAGCAGGATGACCTCTGGGTGGCGAGTCCGATATTCGTAGAGGTCCTCACTCAAAGCCTCATTAAACAAGGTAGGGGAGTTCTTGAACCCCTGTGGGAGGCGGGTCCAAGTTAATTGTACTACCGGTGGGCCCTCCCTCTCAGTCCACTCAAAGGCAAATATCTCCTGGCTCTGGGCCGCCAGGGGTAGGCTGAAAAAAAGCATCTTTCAAGTCCAACACAGTGAACCAAGTGTACTCAGGCAGTAAACTGATCAGGAGGGTATACGGGTTAGGGACAGTGGGGTGTATGTCACTCACCCGCTTGTTGACTTCTGGCAGGTCTTGGACAGGTCTGTAATCTGTCCCCCCTGGCTTCTTCACCGGCAGTAAGGGGGTGTTTCAAGGGGATTGACACCGCCTGAGAATTCCGGCATCCATGAGCCGTCGAATGTGGGGAGTGATCCCCCGCCGAGCCTCCTGGCTCATAGGGTAGTGTCTCACCCTCACAGGAACTGCCTCGGCCTTTAGCTCCCTGACGGCTGGATGTCTCTGTTTGGCCAGTCCCATTCCTGCCGTTTCTGCCCAGGCCAATGGGTATTTATGGACCCACGGTTGTACATCTGGTGCTATGACCTCTGAGGGCTTAGGAGCAAAAAGTCTGTATTCATCCCTTAAGGCTAGGGATAAGACATGTATCGGCTGTCCAAGTCCATCCGTGACTGACATTCCCCTAGGGTCAAAATGGATCTGAGCATTAACTTTAGTCAACTAGTCTCTTCCAAGTAGAGGGGCTGGGCATTCTGGTATCACCAAAAATGAATGGGACACCTGGTGGGTCCCCAGATTTACTTTCCGTTCCGTGGTCCAACAATATCTTTTTGTCCCCGTGGCTCCCTGCACCAAGCTGGTTTTCTTAGACATTGGTCCCAGTTTTTGATTTAAAACGGAGTGTTGGGCGCCGGTATCTACCATGAAGCCAACGGGTTTCCCCTCCACATGTATGGTTACCCAGGACTCGGGGAGGGGTGCCGAGTCTTGACTCCCCTAGTCACTGTCTTCCCCCACATATAGAACTCGAGTTCCAGGGGAGATTCCCTCTGTCTGGGTTGTTCCTCTCTTTGGGTCCCTCCTAGGGCACTCGTTTTTCCAGTGCCCCGTTCTTTGCAGTAAGCGCACTGATCTTTCTTTAGGGCCTGTCTTTTTGGTTTCTCTTTTTTTCCCGTCTGAGGGTCTCGAGGCTCCCTCAATTCTGCTCTGGCCTTCATCCCCGCAAAAAGAATCTGGGCTAGCTCCCGCTGGTTCTTCCGGTTTTCCTTCTCTCTATGTTCCCTATCTTCCTTCCTGATCTTCTCAGCTAATTCCCTTTCCTCCCGTCGAATTCACTCTTCCCTTTCTTCTGAGGTCTCTCTATTATTAAATACCTTTTCAGCTGCTTTCAGTAAATCCTGTATCGTCTGTTCTCCCAATCCCTCTATCTTTTGTAATTTCCTCCTAATATCTGGGGCTGCCTGATTTACAAACGCTAACAGAACTGCAGCGCGTGACTCCTCAGCCTGGGGGTCCATAGGTGTATATTGCCTAAAGGCTTCCATCAGCCTCTCTAGGAAGGCTGTCGGGCTCTCAGTGGGCTCTTGCCTTACTAAATTTACCTTCGCCAAATTTGTCGGCTTCCTAGCTGCGGCCCGCAGGCCAGCCATTAGAGTCTGGCGGTACACTCGGAGACGCTCCCTACCTTCCGTTTGCTCAAAATCCCAGTTAGGCCGCAACAGAGGAAACCCCTGGTCCACGAGATGAGGCTGGGCGGTCGGCCTCCCGTCGGCCCCCGGGACCCGTTTCCGCGCCTCTGCCAGGATTCGCTCCCGCTCTTCCGTGGTGAAGAGCACTTGTAACAGCTGCTGACAATCGTCCCAGGTGGGGTTGTGAGTGAACAAAATGGAATCTAAGAGGTCAACGAGGCCTTGGGGCTTCTCTGAGAAAGGAGGGTTCTGGGTCTTCCAATTGTACAGGTCACTCGTGGAAAAGGGCCAGTACTGATACGTTCGCTCTCCACCCGGGTTAGCTGGTCCCACTTGGACGGGGAGCGCCTGAACAGTGGATGAAGGTAACTCTGGGTCCCCAGGGTCTTGTCCACCCCATCACCCCTATCACCCCTAATTCTCCTCCGGGTCCCCAATGCGGGTCCCCCATCATGGTCAATTCCTGCAGGCCCTCGCAACCCTCTTGATTCGCCCGGGGGAGTTCCTCCCCTCGGAGGGAATTGCAGTGGGGGGGCATACGGCGGAGGCCTTATCTCTGTTTCTAAATCTATCAGGTTCGGATAAGATGATTCCTGAAGGACCGGTTTTGGGTCCTCTTTCTTTTTAGTTTCTTCTGGGGGGGTCTCCATCGCCAGGACCTGTGAATTGGAAGAACTAGGAAGTTTGTGAGCGAAAGGTTTTAACCATTTGGGTGGATTTTCCACCAGATCCTGCCAGACCATGACATAAGGAACCTGATCCGCATGGCCCCAAGGATCAGGAGCCATAATCCTTTTTTTTACAGCCTGTATAATGGATGGTTGAAAGGTCCCTTCCAGAAGCCATCCAACTTGGAAGGCAGGCCACTCTGCAGAGCAAAAGGTTGTTAATTTACTTTTCTTGACTCGCAAAGACAAGTTATGTGTCCTGGCCCTGACATCTGAGAAATGGTCAGTCATGAGAGAGAGTGGGGTAGATTCCCCCTGACCCATGGCTAGAGTGTAAATGGTAGGGAAGAGAGAGAGAAAAAGTCAATGAGAACAGCCACCAAAAATCCTACCGGGAGTGGTGGCGGCCAAGAGGTTGGGCTTATGGTATGCTTTTGGTACTGTTTATGTGCCTGCGTCGTTGCACGGAAGTTTTCTTGCTGGGGGCGGGCACGCTAGATGTTTCTAGCCCATTCCATGACCCCCTTATCCTCTCACGGGTGTCTTCAAGTGGCAGGCGCCCTAATGGCCTTTAAGTGCCTGTCCTGTGCCCACACAAGGAATTTTAGGCCACGTCCTCAGTTAGGGATGTTGAAAGAGAGTTTCACCCGATCGGGCTCCCGTTACTGAGGCTCACTTATTGTAAGGCCTTCAGAGTCCGCCAGAGTGTAGCCCTGGCCGGGGCTCATCAGTTGCCCCCACAACTGTTCGCCTGTTCACTGAAACTCTTGAAGAGAGTAGGAGTCGAAGGCAGATCAGAGAAGAAGGGGAGAAGGAGAATAAGTCAGAAGAGAGAGTAGAGAACGATACACCAGAAGACAACGAGACCAGAGACAATGCCGGCACACACACAAACACGGAGGGGCGTAGACAAACACGCAGAAAGACAAATGTCGGCCGACAACACAGCGCTGGGTTTTTGGGCCCCCTGAGTCCTCTTGCCTCCCGGTACAAGGTTCATCTTACGGAATGGCGTCCACTGCTCACCAGACTCGGGATCAGGAGAGAAACTCTCCTTCCCGCAGAGCCGGCTGCCTTCCAGCGCGCTCGCTGGCCCGACTGGAACGTCCAATCCGTTCCCCCTTTACAGAAAGCTTTCTCCTGCGCCAGATACCTTCCTGCTTCTCAGCAGGGCCTCGGATTTACACTGGACTTTCCTGTCCTGCCTGAGCACTGGTGCTATATCTATCCTTCCCCTCTGTCCTGGAAGTGTTATCTTTCCCCAGTCAAGGGATCCCGGACGAGCCCCCAAATGTTATGCCCGCTGTCCGAATCCCCCAGCAGGAAAAGAGAAGACCTCCATGACAATGCAATATGCAAAGGAAGGGAAGTTTATTGCTGACTCGAGCCAGGGCCCCTGCTGCAACCAACGCAGTGGTGCAAAGTCAGAGAGCCCCGAGCCCCAGTTTCCACGCACATTTATAGGGTGCTCAATTTCAAACATAAGCAGTGGGCAGTGGGCGCAAGCGGATTGGTTACATGTTTGCAAGGCAATTTTATTGGTACAAACTTTTGAGCGCGCGCGGGACTTTCCAGGGGACCTTCTCGGAGGTTTACTGGGCGCGTACTGATTAGCTGGTCTCTGGTGGCCTGTTGAGGGCAGATAATTACCCTCCCCTCGGGAGAAACTGAAACTTAGGCCACTCTTAGTTCAGGGCACCTGTCATAGTGCTAGTCTTGACAGTCTCACAACAGGTCCTGGGAGCTGAACTGAAAGGCATGAGTTTCGCTTGAGATTCTAATCACATCTGTGACCTTTGTATCAAGTGTCTTAAGGAAATAATAAAAGAACCAGAAAGACAAGTCCTAGAATATTTTATGTAGAGCTTCACTGTCCCTATGGCAACCTCAAACCAGAAATGATCCCTGAGCTCCTGAAATGTGAAAAGTCCAAACTGAGATGTGTCATGAGTATTGAATTCATACCTGAATATGAAAAAAAAAGTTAAATATCTAATTAATAATTTTAAAATATTGATTACATGTTAAAATGATACTTTGGATCTATTGGTTAAATAAAATACATTACTGTGTGTATGCTAAATCACTTCAGTTGCATCCGACTCTTTTCAACCCTGTGGACCATAGTACACCAGGCTTCCTTCCTTGTAAGTGGGAAGGGAGCAACCACCGGCCAAGGAGCAGATTTTCTCCCGGGGGGTGGGGGGAGCACAGCCCCGCTGACACCTGGGTTTCAGACTTTCAGCCTCCAGAACTTGAGAGAGTTAAGTTTCTGTTGTTTTAACTTCACCAAATCTCTGGTGATTTGTTACAATATTCTGGGGGAACTCAAACAGTTATTGAAATTAATTTCACTGTTGTTTTTTTTTAACATGGCTACTAGAAAATTGTTACTTACGAATGTGGCTGGCCATCGTGGTGACCTTGAACCTTTCTCCAAGGAAAGGAAGCCACCTCTCCTCCCTGGCTCCTTGTTCAAAAAGGCGTTGAACCAGAGTCACAATTCCTATCTGCAGTCCTTGGGTCTCTGGGGATCCAGGAAGGTGCCTGCAGATTTATTTTTAGGTTGGCAGTACTGGTTAAAGATATCTTTGGTCTTTGGCTGGATTACATGAAGTAAGCACTCTCCAGAGATCCAAGAAGCAGTTACATGTGTCCTGTGGACATGCAAACCCTTTTAAAAACACAGAAAGATATTTTGTTAGTTTCTTGGGGCTGCCGTGACAAATTACCGCATATAAACAACGGAATTTTTTTTCTCTAGTAGTTCTGGAAGCCAGTGGTCTGAGATCCCCGTGTAGGCAGGGCTGGTCACCGCTGGGGGAGTCTCTCTCACACCTTTTTCCCAGCTTCAGGTGTCGGCTGGCAGCCCTTGGTGCTCCTTAGCTTGTGGCTGCATCACTCCAATTTCTGCCTCTATCTCTACATGGCCTTTCTTCTGAGTCTGAGTCTCCTTCTCTGTTCTCTCTCAACGTCACCAGCCATTGCACTGAGTCCACCTCAAATCTGAGATGACCTCATTTCAAGATCCCTAACTTAATCAAGGACCTAGGTGAGAGTGAACGGTAGGGGAGGTTTGGTAGGACTGGTATGCTGCAGTCCGTGGGGTCACAGAGTGGGACACGGCTTAGTGACTGAACACCAACAACAAACTTAATTACATATGCAAAGACCTGTGCTGATTAGTTTAATGTGTCAGCCTGACTGGTCACTGGGCGCCCAGATTAAGCATTATTTCTGAGGGTGTCTGTGAGAATGTTTCCAGATGAGACTAGCATTTGAATCAGTGGACTCAGGAAAGTAGGACGCCCCCCAGCGAAGGTGGGCTTCGTCCAGTCACCAGGGCTGAAGGATGATTCACCCTTCTTTTCCTGCCTCCCAGGCTCACTCACTTCCCCAGCCCTCAGGCTGAGGTTTAAACCCCTGACTCCCCTGGTTCTCAGGCCTTTGGACTTGGACTGAAATATGCCACCAGCTTTCCGGGTCTCCAGCTTGCAGAGGGCAATTCACAGGACTTCTCAGGCTCTATAATCACATGAGCTGATTTCTCGTAATAAATCCCTTTAGAGGACAGATAGATAGACAAACTCTAAATGGATTATATATAGATACCCAGGTGGTGCTAGTGGTAAAGAACCTCCCTGCCAGTGCAGGAGACTCAGGAGACTCGGGTTTGCTCCCTGGATTGGGAAGATCCCCTGGAGAAGGAAAAGGCAACCCACTCCAGTATGCTTGCCTGGAGAATCTCATGGACAGAGAAGCCTGGCGGGCTACAGTCCATAAAGTCGCAAAGAGTCAGACACAACTGAAGCCACTTAGATTAAATCTATATAGTCATATAATCTCTCCTCTCTCTCTGTCTCAAATCATATATATATATGACTTGATTGATGACTGGCTTTTGTGGGGAGAGGTGTCTGATCTGTATGGTAGCACTCAGACTCAGCAGTCGTGGCACTAGGGCTGAGTTGCCCTGCAGTCTGTGGGATCTTAGTTCCCTGGCCAGGGGTTGAACCTGTGTCGCCTGGCTTGGAAGGCGGATTCTTAACCACTGGACCACCAGGGAAGTTCCTGATTTTGTTTTTGATTTTGTTTCTCTAGAAAACCCTAATACAGACCCCATTTCCAAATAAGGTCATATTCACAGGTGCTGTGGGTTTAGGACTCAGACATATCTTTTCTGGGGACATTATTCAACACCCTACAGATATGTTACCTCTGTCTTTGTAGAGGCTGGACTGCAAAGGGGGCTCAGAGCATGGGTCTGCAACTCTATGGATCAGGATTTGAATTCTCCACTTGTGATCCTGTTACTATTGCTGTTTTTCTCCCTGGAACCTCAGGAATCCTCTATGAATATCAGAAATTTTGGCATTTTGAGTATTTGCTCCAGAAGATTGTTGTGAGACCTCTCATTAGCTCTTAGGATAAGTTACCCTGAAGCTGCAATACTTTGGATACCTGATGCGAAGAGCCGACTCACTGGAAAAAACCTTGATGCTGGGAAAGATTGAGGGCAAGTGGAGAAAGTGGCGACAGAGGATGAGATGGTTAGATAGCATCACCAACTCAATGGATATGAATTTGAGCAAACTCTAGGAGATAGTGGAGGACAGAGGAGCCTGGCATGCTACAGTCCATGGGGTTGCAAAGAGTCATATGTGACTTAGCAACTGAACAACAAACAACAACAATTACTGTTTGTGTTCTTAGTTTAAGATG